TATTGGGAGACACCTGCATGATGTGGTTGCCTTTCAGATCACTGTGAACTGTACCATTTACACTTACCACATTCTGCACCGACGTCTGAGTTTTCTCCCTTGCCACCTGTTCCAGTGCACCGTTCATTTCTGGCAGAGCCACTTTTTCATTACCTTGCACTACACTGGGGCCAGACTTCATCTGATTCAAACAGTTGCTGCCATCATACTGGACCCCCATCACCTTGTTGCTTATTACACTTTCATCATCACTGTATACTGACTGAAGCAAAGTGAGAGCTGACATCTTACTTACACTGACCTCTGTGCCCTGGTGTGTTTCGCTGAGCTGTGCTGCATTGTTTTCTCTCATAGGAACTTTTTTTTGATCAACTTTGACTGGGAAAATGGCATCATCACTAGAGTACACCATCTGTCTTCTCACATTGTTCACCTGAGGAGATTGTGTTTCATGTACAATTGTCGCATCACCTACTCTTGATGATGGTATAGCTTTTGCTTGTGAGTAAGTTGTGCCTTGAAATTTCACAGAGTTCACTTGGCTTGTAATTATATTACTAGAATTTGGTAACGTTTTCACTGGCGTGTAACTGGAGGAGGATTTGGACATGGCTGGATTGACAGTAGGGGATTTCGTGGGTGTTATCTTTGAGGGTGTCACTCTGTTCACCTTGATGCAGGCTGTGTTGTCACTGTTTGGGAGAGAAGTGACTACTTCAGCACTGCTGGACATATCCATCCTGTGATTCTGTTCTCTTCCCGATCCTTCAACCTGGGTTAAAACGCCATCCTTAATGATGACCCTCTCTTGCTCCTTCTTCAGCTGCACCTCTGGGGTCTTGCTGTCACCTGGTTTTCCCTGACCTGACACCTCTTTCTGTGGCTGTGAGGCGTCACTGGCATGGGCCGTGCTTGTCCCTCCTTTGTCCTTCTTGTCGTCGGAGCTGAAGTAAATGTCTGGAAGGGTGATGGAGCTGTGGTTGGGGTTGTGTTGCTCCATGAGGTTGCGAATCAGCTTTGCCATGGCTTCCCGTTTCCCCCTGACCACCTCGTGGGGGAACCACTCAGTGAGAGAGCGGATTGGGAAGGTGTAGTCTTTGAGCGGGTGCTGCAATGGACAAGAAAAAACTTCAACAATCTGTGTACATGTAGGTACACATAAAGAACATAAAATAAAGAATCTGTGCACATATAGGTACACATAAAGAATATAAGATAAAGAATCTGTAGGCATTCCACAAGACAGTGGTATAAATGCTCTTTATATATAGCTATGTAAATACCATACTAAAACAGTTGAACATTGAAAACAGCATAACAAGCAACATGCTATAGAACAACAACCACTTGACTGAAGACAAGGAACAACATATATTACCTGCATTTCATCCCAATATTTTTTTTTAAAAGCCATTAATAGCAATTATTACACAATTGGTGAAAATGTGAAAGAAGTGCTATATAGAAATGCCAATTTCACTTTGTGATATTTGTCCTGCCAGAAAATGCATCAAAACATGAAAAGGACTGCAGTAAGGTCATTCATATCAGCACGCAGTTTAAACCTAAAATGCGGATTTAAAATCTGAATTTAAAAAATTAATTAATACAAAGATATTTAGATACATAAGAGTACCCCCAGAACATCTCACCTCAAAAAAACTCTCAGCAAATTGTAGCGTATAAATTCCACAGTCAGAGTAGTTCATTTGCTGGGGGACGCGAGGACAGGCACCCTTCATTGTGTCTCTGTTGAAGAGCTTCTCACTGCCCCTCCTGATCTTGTGCTCCACAGCCAGGTAGTCCCTCAAGGTGGCCACGATGCGTGAACGGTTGGCACCAGTCAGGGAGTCAAATATTAGGATGCAGGGCCTGGAGATGATAAATTTGAAGGACATTATCCCACTAACGACGGGTTTCCCACATACGAGACACCCCAAAAAATAAACATTGCCGGGTGTCCCGCCAGCGTGACAGGGCTCTCGGTCCAATGCACCCCCTCAGCCGATTTTGTAGCCACCCGGAATCTTTTATTTTCGGCTTCAAAATATACCTGCGTTAATGGGTTAAATACAACTGTCATGAAAACACAATTACACCCTAGTCTTTCCTTTTTTAATTAATATTGTGTATCAATACTAATCATTCTTCACACCAAGTTTTGGTGGTATGCAAGCCAAGCATATTTTTACTCATTTTCTCATTAATTACTAAAAAAAAAAAACTATTTTATACATAGGAAAGCCTCAAAAACTGTCAAAACAGAAAAGTACAGAAAAAGAGAGTCTCTCAGTCTCTCTCTCTCTCTCTAAAAATAACACAATACACACACACACAAAATAGGGTAAATGTATGCTTCCAATGATTCTAATTTTTCATTCTAGTAGCTGCCTGTGCACAATGCCTGGTGCATGGCTTGGCGTGGTCTGGAGAAATCCCATGACGTGCGGTCTAAAAGACAAATCTCTGCTCCTACAAACAGTTCTCTGCCTTAGACAAGCAAGTTTCCCTCTTCTAGGCAGTTGTTCCTCTTACAAAGTGTTTGCCCCTTACACAAGTTCTCTCCTTCCACAAGCTCAAAACTCAAAACTCACTGCTTAATAGCAGGTGGTGGGGTGGCTGCTTCCTTGGGCCCCTGTGCCTCTTCAGCCTTGCCCGCTTCCAGTTTGTTCTTCTTGGTGGCTGGAACATCCTCCTCTTCCTCTTCCTCCTCAAGTTCATCCTCTTCTCCCTCAGCCTCATCCCTGTCACTCCACTCTCCATCATCAATGATGGGGATCTGCTGAACAAGAAAATTTATCATGTAGAAAACAAGGAAAAGCTGCTCTAATATTAACCATTCAAAAACCATACTGACAAATGTAAGGCAAGAGAATATGGGGAAAGTAATGCAGAAGTTGGTCACTAACCTCAATTCTGTTTTTGGGCCTGGTAGATCTACGTCGCTTGGGTTTCTCAGATATTGGCCGTGCAACAGGCTGGCCATCACAGATTCTTATTGGGGAATCTAAGCCAGGGAAGCATATTATTGCCAGAAACCAATGGGCACTGCAAAAGAAAGGTGGAAAGATGAGAAACATTATTCTTTTTCCTTCTGAACATTTCTTGTTTATCAGTATACCTTAGAAAAAATAAGTCAAATTTTACCTTAATGAACTTTACACATATCAACCCCTTGAAACCAGGTGATGTGACCATCACATGAAAAAACTTGGTTTGAGGGACAGATGACACGAACATAAAGTTGTGGAAAAATCTGGCTGAGGGCCAGGGTGATGGGAACATTTCCATCATAAGAATATTGGCTGAAGGCCGCAGTGATGGGAATGACTCATTTAGTCAGTGGGCACTTAGGAAGGGGCATTTTTTCTGTTGCCAAAATGAGTTGAAAATACCATCCATGAACCATAACTGGAAGAGCAACAACTCCAGGGAGGATACCAATAACAAAATGTTACTTAATGTTATCATTAATACACTGTTATGGACTACCTAGAGGGGTGATATGGAGTCTGTGCAAAGAAAAGAGTCAAGTGCCTTTTTGATACAGCATATCAAATAAAAATAGAAACATTGGAAAATGGCAAAAAACCCAAAAACCTAACCTAAAAAAATAGATATATAAAAAATAGCACTGCAAAGGGGAGGCACAAAATCTTGACACCACACAAAAGTATACATGTGGGCCAGACCTACAAGCCATACACTAGGGAGTTGCCACTCAGGTAAGCCAATAATACCCAAATTTTGGGGCAGATCCAATTGGTTAACAGAACATATATAGTAACATACTGTTCATTTATAGGAATGATGATGAAATCCTTTTCAAAGATATCAACATTTTTCGTCCAGGACTTGACCCTTGCATGTCGTTTCTCAGCTGGGGAGAGCTTGGGATCATCCTCTGTGGTATGGGGTCTTCGGCCCCTCTTAGGTTTTGAGGTTAGCCGTTTGTAGAAGAAAGTTGAGAAGACATGTGTGTGGCTGCGGTGAATCTCCGGCAGTTTGCTTTGTAGTAGCCATCTTCAGGAAAAGAAATTAGTTGGTTTGAGTCACTAACAGTAAAATACACATAATAACATGTTTATTTCATGTGAACAAGAGACAAAATAACAAGGGAAATACTGAAACTGAGATGTCTTGAGTCAGACTACATTAAAGTTTAAAATCTCAGTATTACTATTTTATGAGAGCATTTCTCAAAATCTCAAGGCATTTTGGGTTTCCTTCACTAGTGGTGATATTTCACTTCAGAATGATGTATTTTAAATCACGCAATTATAATACGAAATCCAGCTAAATAATGAGGATATACTAATTATATTAACTACTTCATAATTCTAATATCATGCTAACATGTTACAAAAACTGCAAATTTGTAAAAAATAAAAAAAATTCTTTCCACAAGATTGTTTTCATTTCTGATTTTTTTTATGGCTCTTCTTTCAATGTTGCAGATATGTTTTTCACAGCCAATTCAAAATTCATTAACAATGCATTCACTATACAAAAAAAAAGTTTCTTACTTGAGATAGAAATCAATGATAACATCATTGAGAAACTGTTCTTCCTCTAGGCAGCAGTAGTCATCTGTTGTGATAGATATTCCCCCCTTCTGCGGTGGTGGTGGGTAGATGAGCAATCTATAACAAAATCAGTGAGAGTTGGATCATTGTAAACAAATATCAACAAAAATAAATAAATGAAATATAAAATAATAATAAGAAGAAATAATAATAACAATAATGTGTTTCATATAACCATGCACCTAATAAGGAACTTGAAATTAAATATAAACATAATATTATGCGTAAGAAATAATAATTACATAAATAGGTGTTTGTTTCATAATAGACATCTTGCATAACTAAGATTGCAACCATATTGTACTTAACATACACTGGGCAATATTGGTCCATACCTGGTATCACACATCATGGTCACACTTAACCTAAGCTTCAGGTAAAACAGATAATAGCCCGATGAACGCAACAGTTAGAACCAATATTTAATTAATTTATAATGTTTCAACCACTCTTATCGTTTCCTCTCGAAGGCTCTGTTTCAGTTCGCACCTCTTTGAAGGATTTTGACGCAGAATCGAACAGGAACCACCGGTGCAGAGTATAACAATTTTATGGTGCACCTCGGTTCATTCAATTGAAATATCTTATTTGATTTATTATTATTTCTTTCTCATAAATTAATTCAGTCTATTTCTGTACTTTAGCTAAAACGCTCATTGTAGAATCATATTTCATTTAATGCATATACTTCTATTTGGTCATTCCAGCCACATATTTTTTGGTGACACGAACTTATGGTCATATGTACATTAAACTCACTATAGTACCTTTCTCCATCTGACTTCCTAATTAATTTACAAAGAGATATAGCTCATTCGTTAAATTCATCTTCTGATATGCCATAAGGAGCGAAGCAACCTAAACCTCTCACATTGGGATTTTGGTTTAATTTCGGGTTGTCGCTGCTATACCCCACTGCACGAGGATTCCTCATTGGCCTCTTCTCTGTCAAGCTCCTCGTACAGGTTAGCCCCAATGTCCACGCGGAAGTGTGCTTGTTTCCAAGCCACCCATTAGGCTTGGGTTAATGAAAGCATCAGGATCTCCTTCACCAGTGCCTTGGTCTCCTCAGACATCTTGGGTCCACGGGGAAGATTGGGTGGAGGTGCTTGCATTCTTGATTTACTATTCGATCTAGCCGAAGTGAAGCATAGTAGTGCTTCCACAGGAATGGAGGAACAATGTTTTCTCTGAAAATGTGTAAATATTCTTTTATTATTTGAAGATCTTTACTAATCCTTGCAAGTACCCGCCAAACTTTTATTTATTTGTTATACGTTCGGAATGCCACATATTGGGAGGTTGTATTTTTACAACTAAAGGATTTTGCATGTGGCAATGGTCGAAATAAAACATTATCTATGCTACATTTGATTACTGGATAATAAAAAAGGGGCAAGTAGGAGTCTATCAATGATAAAAAAAAGCACAACAGACACAGACGATTTCGATAAGTCAGAATGACGAGTGGCTACTTTTGAGAGCATTACAGAATACGTTCAATTTCTTTTAGGATAGTGTGTGGGAAAGATTGCATACTATTCAGGTGTTTTCAAAAGTAGCTGCTTTAACAGTAGCCTTAAAACTTATATCAGATGGTTATTTGCTGTTCTTAGTGACAGTTTTCTTTTTGAAAACGAGAACCTAGAAAGTAGCAACCTTCAAACATCATATTTTTGTACGGCACGAAGGTCAGTTGTTCGAGCTGCTGGTTTTTGTCTGGTTAATACTACACAATTCACTTATAATTACGAAAAATAATGGTTATAGGTCCTTTCAATGAAAATTAAAGAGATTTCCTTTTGGTTTCTAGGAGTGTCAAATGTTATAAAGTGCTTAATCCCTAAAAGACATGACATTTTACTGTCTGTTTAAAAATAGTTTCAAAATTACATACATTTAATACAGGAAGAATACATTACTACAACATGTTTAATGCAAGGATCTATAAGTACATCCCTTTACTGTTGACATATTTATTTTATTCTTCTGATATTCCTCCAATGCTCAAGCAGTTTGGAATTGTTGTCGAGTCTATCATGAGAACAGGATGACAATTGATCTTCCAAAATGCAAGCCAGGATTTTTCACAAATACTTTTAATTGGACATGTCAAATGATAACTGGTTTATTTCATATGGATATCTGTAAAGACAAACAGGTCTCGGTGAATGTATGTTCATATAGAATATAAGAAAAATAATAACATTATCATATTATATATGACTGGACCGTGAAATATCACCACTAGTTGGGAAGAAAACCAAAATGCTTGAGATTTGAGAATCATATCACTATACAATCTATTGTTACTACTAATATAGTCCAGTTCAAGAATATAACTCACTTAATTAATAAAGACATGTGGAAGCTTTAAGCGAAGGATTTCAATATTACTGAGAGCAGAAATCATAACTTTCTTCTTTTATCTATGCAACTCTTGTATTTACCCATAAATAAGAGGATGCTTCGTGGAGGTAATTCTGACTTCAATAGGCGATACTTGCAGTGTAATATTGAACGCTTCTTTTATTGGTAACCATCATCCAGATCTTTGGACAAGATTTGGCACCTTTATCTTACCTAGGATATGTAAATGAAATAACTTCAAAATAAAATGGGGCCATGAAACGAATCGAAAAAGAGTTGGAAACAATAAAACAAATTACACTTTCTTACCTTCACTCATCAAACTCCACAAACATTCCACACATGTGAGGCACTGCTCCGTGAACACTATGCCTACATGTACAATGACCATGGTGCACCTATTTATCTATTCATACTGTTTTTTCAATAGTATATATGCACCCATCAGAATACTTATCAAAAAATAACACCTATCATGCTCTCTCTTTTAGATGATTTGTGTGTTGTGCTGTGCTGTTGTTTGTGTTGTGTCGCTGGTGTGGGTGTAGATGATGGTTGGGGCTGCTTACCGGTGCTGTTGTGTGTGTGATAGGTGTGTGATGTGTGTGTGTAGTGTGTGTCGGTACATTATATAAAATAGCTCAATATGGAATACATAACATAGTGAGAAGTTAGATGAATGATTTGATCGGTACCAAAATCGGAAAACAAATTGCATTGTCGCCCAAACACCCACACTGTTTTGTCACACTTTTCTTCTAACCCACACGAATGGCCTCACTGTGGACTCGGCCTCCATCGAATCGTTCTTTGGACACTAACTCATCACTTCGAGGGTTAATCGATGAGGTAACACTCTTGCTTCTGAAAGGTGGAGAATTCTGGGGGGGTCCCCGAAGGCCCTATGTGAGTGAACAAGAGCACTGACATTACCCAATGGCTTCTTCCTTCCAGCTGCAAGAAACGGTGATAGACGAAAACCCTTCCTGCCACAGGCCAGGTCCCGCAACGCTCGGCAAGCTCGGGTGTAGTCACGATTACATTTGCTTCCTCATGATTTGAAAGAAGCTCCAGCTCAGTTGATAAAGGAGCTATTGTCATCGGAGAGTCGGATTGAGGCATCGCGAGGCAGATAGTCATAACAATGAGATTTGTAAACGGTTAGCTGTCGCCTTATACTAAATTTCTTCACATTTTTATAAATAGAATACTATTCAGAAATCAGTAAGAATACAGAAAGATATAGACATAGGTGAAAACATATAAAAGGCACAAAAGAATTGCTTATAAGGAGGAGTATATGAGGAAATGAATGTGGATACTCCAAAAGGATAAGAAGTTGTTATGGGTGTAAGGTTATAGTAGTGCTTACGATCGAGTTGAGGAGGATTGAGAGGCACTATAGGCATCGGCGCACGCACATATGTGGAGAATCAGGGGATCACATTGGTGTAGGATAGAGTATGCCTGCGGCCAACATGTGAGAGGATATAATCTTCCATTCGGGCTCGTTGGTGCATCCTCGGCTAACTGAGTGTAGGTCTTTGCCACTCGCTCCCGTGCGCGCCCCTTTGGCGCTTCCTTCTGGCTTCTGAGACAGGTGCAGCGCTTCTTCTTCCACTCCCTTTGGTGACGCCACGCCTGTCTTTCCATTAGAAGCTCCTTGTTTAAAGTGCATGTCACACACATCAACCTCCCTCATCATCTAAGTAATTCTGAGAGGCTAGTGTGATTGCAAACTTAAACAATAAAAAAGTAAAGGAAGAATGAATAAAACAAATGCTACAGTGCAATTATACAACAGAGAGGAAGAGGCTAAGAAAATACATTTTGAAGTTTCTTTCCTTCAAAAATACAGAAAAACAAAAGATGATTATTAATAAACAAAAAGGAAGCAAGAAGTTAAAATAAGATGAACCAAAATGTCCATTTGTTCAACTCGAACTGGCAGTTATCAGGCATTCCTTGAGTGAATTGCATAAACATTTTCATATTAATAAAAGAGCTACTGAAACCAGCAATTAATGACATCCACATTCATATTGATGTCAAGCACCTTTCAGTTGGCATGTTTTTTTTTTACTTCTTTTTTTATTTATATTTACATAAACTCTTCAAATTTAAATCAGTTTGTTAAGATAATTACAAGGCTGTCCAAAATTTTGAGGGCTATCATTCAAACTAAAAAAGAAGGCAGAGGTAACCTTTCTGAAATACAAAATATCCTCTATATGCTGTTATAAAAGATGAGAGACTTGGAGGGGATAATAATATTAAAATCTTTAAACTTGCTAACATTTCTTTAATCACCAGCATATCAAAGGCAAAAGCTTGTCAAAATCAGAAATGCAAAATTCTAGCATGATGGTACAATCTGTACTGGGGACAATTGCGTCAAAAGCCAGCCTCACATGCCAAGAACCCTCTTCACCCTTAAAGTCTGAGCTGCCTTAAGTGACATCATAGAGAAATTGCACCACCAGCTACGATGCCTTCATAAAACATTGGCTTATGACACACAAGTAATGGGTGTCTTTGGGCCTTCCAGGGATGCAATTACTCTTGCAGGCTACTGTATCTGATGCCTCCACAGTCTGCTTGCCTCATGCCTCATTAAGAAGCCTTTTACATTTATCTAATCCTTTCTTTACTTTGTAGGTGCTTTGTACTGAATGATATGCTAATTATGCTTGCTAGAGATATTGTGTATGTGTGTATATATATAGGGCAGCACAAAAACAGTCTAGACTATGTTAATGAAGAATCAGGCTTCTGTATTTTCTACAGATTTTGTTTTTGAAATAAAAGTCTTCCACAAATACTCGATATTCAATAAATAGAAAAACTACTATAGGAAGTTGGTTAAGCTCTAGTACAACATGAATTATAGAGTGGCAATGCAGCATATTTCAATTCACAAAAGTGAGACTAAACAGCTAGATTTTACGCGCTCAATAAGGAGTCAATCATTAGTCACACCCTTGGGGGCAATGCAGAGATAATATAAGGTTGACCTCTCTGCCTCTTAAGTGCCGACACGGTGATATAGAAGTTTGTGAGTCGAGTTCCCCTGAATGCAACTGCGGACCGTGATCCTAGTCGCTATAGATTAGATTCTCTCAGGATAGATAGAATTGTGGGACAGATAGTAATCCCGCTCAGGGCCTCGTCAGCGTCCGTAAGATTCTGTATGTGTGTGTATGTTATTTATCGCTCGCTGTTGAATGTATAACAAACTCTTTTAAGTGGTTTTTGTGCTTAGGTTCGTATCTGGTCCCAAGTGATTAAGTATTTGTTCTATTGTGATGTAGTCCACATTCCCCTGGTTTTTCAAAGGGTGTATGATATGTGTAAATGTTCATCTAAGGTTAAAATATTTCTGGACGTATATTTTTTCTTAAGGTATATAATCATCTGATTAAACACAGAAAAATTTGGTTCAGAGAAAAAGAAAATAATGTTGTATTACTTGCTCACATATCTTTTCACTCATAGACCTGTTTCCTTTGTTGTTGGCGAGTGGGCCCATTGGGTTTTGTATTGGGCCATAGTGCTGAATAATTGTGAGCGTGGTCGTTCCCGCCTTGTGTGAGGCTACGAGCCCTCAATCAGAAGTCTGTTGGATTGGCCAGCCTTTTGCAGGGCCAATATCGAGAATGATCTCGAAAGCCGAACGTGTAGAGTGATGCTGAGCTCAGAGGTGTCGCTCAGAAATGACAGATGGATTGGATGCTTAGCTTGGCCCAACTTCTTGGGCATTACTTTCCATATTCTGTTTTGGCCTTGCAGCATTTTGTCTTGAGCGATTGTATATAGTTGGGTGTGGTGTTGAAATCGGTTAATTTAGTTTGAGCACGCGCGTTGTTGCTCGCTTTGCGGGATTATTGTTCTACACATTGTTGCTTGTTGTGCTTGTAAGTATTTGGTTTGTAATCTTCTTTTAGTTCTCTTAGGGCTATATGAGCAGCTTCCCCCAGGCACTTGTCCTCCTATATCGATTCTGGGTGGACTCCCTTCCGGCCATTGGGGAGTTAGGATGGTGCGGGGTTGACCATGGGTGAGATAGCCTCTTACTGACCGCTCCCTAGGACCACCCCATTGGAGTGCCTGGGTACATACAAAGGACTAACTTTTTCAACTTTGATGCTCCCCTTTTTGGTTACTTACTAATTCATAAAGCAGCACAAGGCACATACTCTCGAGTGCAAAATCAAGCCCTTCAAACAACAAACACTAAATCTGCCCTAGGTAAAAGATGAATTTTAATTGTTAATCCCAGAATTTAGAGGCTAAATATCTACCCCTAAACTGGACACCCAAAGAGACATTTACCTGCTTCATTATATGCATGTTTGAGAAGCCAACACCCCTTCCTCCCACCACTGTCGAGTCTGCTGTTGAGCTCTTCCCCGAGGTGGTGATGGTCGACTGCGCCAGGGTGCGCGCTGTGTCTGTCCTGTGATTACACCTTTGGCACGTTAGGAGGTCTTCACTCAGGATGCCACAATTGCTACACACTGCCACCCGGCCCTTGATAAACCGCCGTTTTCCATTCTGCAGAGACATGCGTAGATGGTGAGTAACTAAATGATGGAAAGAAAGACTCCTTGACTATTAAGGGGACTATTAAAAAGAAATAAGGAGTAAATAAAAAATAATAAATAAATATGTAACTAAGCAAATAAATAAATAATAATAAATGAAACACTTTGTATTTTTTCGAGCGCATGTGCAGGGGCTCTAATATCCTGTTGTTTTTTCTTTCTTTCTTTTTCTTTTTTGTGTGGGTGTTTTTTACTAAATCTATTGGGGTGGCCATATGGGGGGGGGGGGTAATACCTCTTACAAATACATGCTTTTTTTCCACTTTTTTATATATGTTTCGGAATAAATCTCTTCTTGGAGATAATGAACTAAAGAATAAAAACATCTAAAATTACATCAACTATAACTATTTGCATTTTTTCTCTTTTTTTTCCTTTACTTCATTTTCCCCTGAAAAATATATAAATAAATAAAATTTCAATAAATCTATTTGATCTCCTTACTGACCTTCAAAATTTCATTGAAGAAAAAAAAAAAAAAATTAAAAAGAAGAAAAAGTCAAAGTCAAACATCCCCCACTGTTTTACAATGCAATAACCAAATTAGAATTGGTTAAGAAGTCATCAATATGGAATTGCCTGAAATTTCAGAAAAAAAAATGTATATCTTAACCCAGTGCCGACGGGTAAAAATGTTTGGCAAGTGGACGTAAGAACAGGATTGTTGGCATGCATCGGCAGTTTCCCCTGTTTGCGCCTGACTTGATCTGTAGTTTAGCACCTAAAAGCTTTTATTTTGCTATAATTTATAAAAATATTAAAATTTTGAAGGTTTACCTTCATTATAGGTGCCATTGCCTAAAACCTTTACCATATAAATGAAGCCGCAACTATCGGAGAAAAACAAACTTTGCCCGACAAGCCAGTGGTGCCATCCATATTTCGGTCCACAACAGCCATGGCATGTACGTACATGCCACCTGTCGGCTACAGGTTAAGC